ACGCAGGCTGTACCGCCGCCTGCTGTACCACCGGCAGCTGCGCCGCGGGCGCCGGCGCCGCCGCCGGCTGCCACGCCTGCTGCACGGCCGCAGGCTGGTGGGCCGCCGCGGGCGGCTGCCAGGCCGGCTGCTGCCAGGCGGGCTGCTGCGGCGCCGGCTGCGCCGCCGGCTGCGGCTGCGCAGCAGGTGCTGGCTGGGGCCGGGGCGCCTCCTCCTCCGGCGCCTCTGCATACTTGGGCTGCACCGTCTGCTGGCGCAGGTTGATGCGAACCACGTTGCGCTTGGCGGCGGGCGGGGCGGGCTGGCCCGGGGGCTGCGCCGAGGCCGCCGGCGTGGGGTGCGCCGCCTGCGCGGCCGGCGGCGCCCACTCGTCGCGCTGCTGGCAGAGGGAGGCAGAGGCAAGGGATCAGGCGGTTGGGAGACGGCCCGGCGAGAGCGGCCTGCGGCACGCCAGCTGGGCGCAGCCTGAAACACCGTCAAGCAGGGGCAGCCGGCAGGCTGGCTGAGGGCGGCGCCCACCCTGCGCTTGATGCCGGCGGTGGCCGGGGCGGCGGCCTGGACGGGAGTGGGGGCGGGGGCCTGGGTGGCGGGGGCGGGGGCGGGGGCGTGATGCAGCGGGGCGCCGTGAGCCACCGCCCGCAGCTGCCGAGCATCTTCCTCGTCCTGCTCATCCTCATCCTGCACGCCCGGGAGCGCCATACCGCTCAGCACCCCTCTTCAGAGCAGCTGGGCCACCATGCAGGGCCGAGGGCCGACCCCAGAGCAGGCACAGGCCTGCCGCTTGCGTTGGTTTCCAGCTGGTGGCTGCCGCTGCAGGCGGGTAGCTGAGCTAAAAGCTTAGCTCGCAGCCCGCCTCACCAGATCCTCCTCCTCATCATCGTCCTCATCTTCAGAGTCATCCTGGTATTCAGGCTCCTCGTCATCCTCCTCCTCGCCTGCAGGAGAGCCAGGGGGTGGGGGATTGCAGAGATGCAGCTGAGGAGCTGCTAGCAGCCACAGACAGTGCGGGTGTGGGCGGCGGCAGCCAAGCCACACACCTCCCCCCTCTTCCTCCTCCTCCTCCATGTCCTCATCTACATTAAAATCCTCGTCGTCCGCCCTGCAGGCAGCCAGGCAGGCGAGGCCGCACTCCACCGGACTCAGCCCGCGGGCAGGAACGCACGCGGGACGCAGCACAGCGAGCATCCTTGCGGCAGGGCTCCAGCAAGCGGCAGCGCTCCAGGAAGCCCCCAAGCGCACACCAGCGGCGGCAGCAGGCGCTGTCAGCTTCAGCAGCAGCCTGCCTGTCGTTGTCCACCTCCTCTTCCTCCTCCTCATAGTCGTCGGCCGGCGCCGCGCCATAGCCATAGGGGTTGCCCCACGGCGGCGGGTCCATTGCGTGCCGCCACGCCTGCGACGACGGCGGGGAGCCGGGGCGGAGTTGAGGCGGCAAGTGGGACACAAGGGCTGCGCTGGAAGTAGCCGTGTAAACAAAGGAGCAGAGCTAACCCATCCCCCAGCCTGCCGTGCAGCTCGCAGACGTGAAGTGGCAACGAGGCGCACGGCGGAGGGCGGTGGCCGCGGGCGCCTGGCGTTGGTGCCACCGCTCCAGCGGGCCTGGGCGCGCGATCATCCACCCTCCATGGATTCTGGGCGCACCTAGGGGGCTGCGCCGTGCGCCGTGGCTCCGCTTCGAGCTTGAGGGGGTCTCGGGAGCGACACAAGCGATCGCAGGCTGCGCTGCGGTGCTCAATCGGCCAGGGGCACGCTTCCAGAGTGCTGCTCAGAGCCGCCAGGCCTCTCCCACAGCGGCTGGCGCAGAGGTCGGGCGGGGTGGCGTAATGCCAGGCCCCTCCATTCACACAGCAAACAAACACAGAGACGCTGTAGAGAGACCCCGAGCACGGTCCGGCCTTGGGCGGCCCCGATGGCGGGCAGCAGGCCGCAGTGGCATCAGGCTGGCTGGAGCCTGGGGCGGCAGCAGGGCCTCGACAGCCTGCGCCCAGCCCAAGCACCTTGGACCCCTCCCCATCAAATAATTGCTGTAATTTGCTCACCGTCTGCACACATGACTGCATGATGCATGCCGCCCACAACCGAAACACGCTCGTGAGACAATTCCGCAAGCTGTCGGCGGCTGGCACTGCCTACGAGCCGCCAGGGCAACTCCGCCTCTCCACTGCCCAGCCCTCCCAAACCCCCGTCCTTGATGCAACAGTGCTGGTTACATGGTAAGCAATCTGGTGCTACGGTGGGTCAACCTTTGTTCCAGGGCATGCGTGCCGCGGGCCGCAGGCCGGGAAGTCAGTGTTGGGACGGACGAAGAAGAGCGGTGTGGGCCGGATGCTGGCGAGCAGCCAGGGAGCAGCCAAGGAGAGGCCAGAAGCAGATTGGCAATGTCCGCTGCCCAAAGCGGGCACCACGAGATCGCCAGTCGCTGGAAACAGGACGCTCAGGCGGTGACGGAGTGGAGCACCACGGAGCGAGGGCCTCGGAAAGGGCTCCCTCACTTGGTGGCGTCCTTGAGGTAAGCGATCAGATCCGCCCTCTCCTCCGGCTTCTTCAGCCCCGCAAACACCATCTTGGTGCCTGCACACATCGGTATGGGCAGCAAGCATGCAGGCCTTGGTGGTCTGGGCGTGGCGAGGGGTTGTGGCAGCATGCTACCTTGCCCAGACTGGCCATGTCCAGACTGGCCGGCAGCCCGATCCCGGGCTGCTGCTCCACCTCCTCCCCATCTGCTGCAGCCGCTCGCGCCCCGCCACGTGTGCGCTGCATGCCCTCCTGCTAGCTCGCTCTCCAACCAGCGACGCCGTTCGCCACCCGTACCGCCTCCCGTACCGCCCCACCGCACCTGGGATGTACTTCTTGGGGTTGAGCAGGTAGTCGTACAGCGTGTCCTCGCCCCACGTGACGCCCTTGTCCACATTGGCCTTGCTGTAGCTGCACCAAAGGCAGGGGCAGGCGCCAGGGCAGGCAGGCGGCGGCAGGAGGGTCGGCAGCAGCCGGGCGCGCAGCAGACCAGCGCCAGCGTGGCACGCCAGGGGGCTTGCTGCCTGGGTTGCCAGTCGGGCGTGGCGCCTGCCAGCCAGCCAGCCAGCCAGCCCTGCCGTGATGTTCTGCTGTACTGATTCCTCCCATGGCACGCAAGCAAACCCCAGCGTGGGACCCGCCTGAAGCCCGCCGCCTGGCCCGTCTTCCGGCCAAACAGGCCGCCCAGGTTGGGGCCCTGCTTGTGGCCCTCGCCAGGGGCGACGGTGTGGCACTGCGCGCACCTGCGCCACAGTGAGGGAAAGTGGAGGCAGCAATACCAGCAACGGTGGGGGCATGCCAGACGGTGCAGGGCGAGCCAGCAGGTGCGCATGCGGCAGCGCTGCGGCAACTGGCACAGGCGTCGACCGCAGGCGAACCGGCTGGACTCACTTGGTCTTGAAGATCTTTGCGCCTGCAGCAATTCAGGGGAGGGCAGGAGGATGACAGGTCAGTCTTGGAACTGGGGGACAACAGCAGGGTGGCAGCAGCAGCGAACGGCGGCAGCCCCAGCCGGCGGAGTAGTAACCAGCTCTGCCTGCTGCTCCCCGGCTGCGCAAACTGCTCTCTGGATCGCCCGGTGCGTTCCCCGAGTCCGGCAGCCGGGGAGGAGACCACGCCGGCAAGGGTTGAAGGGCTTGGGTGAGAGATGGGGTGAACAACTGCTGGCTGCATGACCGCTGCCTGGGCTGTGCGATGAGCACCAGCACCCAAAATCTGCTAGCTGCACCGCCCCAGGTGCCGTCAGGCCGTCAGGCCGTCAGAGGCGGCCCTGCCCTTCACCCCAAACACATGGCTGCCCCCACGCAGCCCGCTCACCCTTTGCGGCATCGCCGGCGGGTGCCTGCAGGTGGCAAGGGGCATGCGGGTCGGTGGCAGTGGTCGGCAGATGGCGGCGAAGGGTTGCAGGCTGACCAGCACACCCAGGCCCCTCCTACCTCCGCAAAGGACGCCATCCTAACAGCAGCGAGTCGGAAGTGCCGCTGGAGCGTCGAAAAGCTTGAGGTCCTGGTGAGGTGCCGCCTTCTGGCTGCCTAAGGCGCAGCGGGGGGGCGGGCACAGCGGCAGCGTGGAGACCAATTTATGCTCTCCATGCTTTGTCGGTTGTGGGATTCAGTGACCTCAGAGCACCGCGTGACCAGGAAATGTTGTCAAAGGAAGAGGGGCCAGGCAATCAGGCGGCAAACAGTTGAGCGGCCACCACGGCCTATGTATATTAGTGCTTCTGCCTTAGCTTTGATGGCGAGGCAATGCGACAATCTGCTGGATTACAACAACCACCAACATCCAGGTGAATGTTACACATGTGAATGTGCTCCACTGCGGCCCACTGGCACGACGCAATCATCGCATGCGTGCTCCGACTACGCACCGCCTGCAGCCCCGTGTCTCGCTTTTAACCGCCTCTCATGCCAAAGAAGATAGCATTGGGGTTGAAGCTGTTCTCCCCAGACGACTGACCTCTCAGCAGCTGCTCGTCGCCATACCCGCTGCCCTGCTTCGCTGCCTTGGCCTGCCGGCGCTCCTGCAGGTAGCGCTGCACCGTGTCCCAGCGCTGCTCCCGCCGCGCCGCCACTACCAGCTCCTGCCGGCAGCGGGCCGCTCCCAGCTGCCAGGCAGCCAGCGCTCGGCGGCGGGTGCGGCAGGCGCTGTGCCTGGCGGCCGCAGCAAGCAGGAGTTGCAACTGCAGCTTGGCTGCTGTTGCCTGCTGCCGCCAGATGCGCAGGGCTCGAACAGCCAGGCGCCGCGCGCGCTGCTGCGGCAGGCAGCGAGCCCAGGCCATGCGCCGCTGCAGTACAGCCAGTGCACATCGCAGCAGCGCATGCTGTCGCTGTCGCCGAGCTCCTGCCATTGCACAGGCGTCGCGCCCCACTGCCTGCCAGGCTGCAACCTGGTGCGCCTGCGCCCAAGCCGCCAGCGCTCTGCACAGGCAGTGCCTGGAGTGCAGCCGCTGGCCTGCAGCGGTCTGGTCCCTGACCTGCTGCAGCAGAGACTTCCATGGGGCCCAGCCCCAGCGCCACGCCACGCCCCGGCTGTAGTGCATTGCGGCGAGCAGAGCCGAGTGCCGCGCGAGCAGCGCCTCGAGGCGGGCAACGTGCGCCTGCGCCTCTGCAGTCCATCGCCTCTCCAGCTGGCTGTAGGCGGCATCTGGGGACGTGCCATGCTGTCGAGGGGTTGCTGGTAGGCGTGCTGCCATGGAGAGGGTTGCGGAGGCAGGTCAACGGTGGGTCCCCACCTGCGCACAGCGCCTCCAGGGTTCCTCGGGGCTGCAGAGCCGATGCACCCACTTTGCAGCAGTGCCCAATTGCTCCGCAGTTGCTAATCACACGTTTTCACGCAGCTGGGCAGGCGCCGCCACGCCACGCCCAGCATTTCATTTCCGACCCAACCCTGCTTATTGCAAGGCGATCGCAGTGCATCTGGGCTCAAGGCGATTGTTGAAAGGAAAGCTGACGACCGCCGCGCTCCCCTGCTCTCCCCCTAGGGCTTGGCCTGCTCCCCAACTCCGGGCCTGCGGGCGACACAACAGCGGCATGCTGCGCAACGCGATCGCCTCCACCGTGCTCCGCAGCCTGCGGGCTAGCGAGGCATACTCCAGCTGCGGCCTGCCCGGCATGGCGGCCAGGGCCTACTCGGCCGCCAGCGTCCAAGAGCCCACCATCACCGCCACCCTGTTCCCGGGAGACGGTGCGCGGTGTTGGGGGAGGCCCAGGACCCGCCACAGCCCGCCGGGGGTTGACTACGCCGCCGCCGCTGCCGCCTGGCCGCCGCCTGGCCGCCGCCTGGCCGCCGGCGGACCCCCCAGCCGCCGCTGGCCGTGCGCCCACCTCCTGCAGGCATTGGCCCCGAGATCTCCGACGCGGTGATGCAGATTTTCGAGGCCGCCAAGGCGCCCATCGAGTGGGATGTGCAGATTGTGGGCAAGGAGGTGGACCCCCGCACCAACAGCTTTGTGACGCGGGAGAACCTGGACTCTGTGCTGGTGCGCCCCGCCAGCACCTGGTCGCCGGGGGGGCTCGCCAGCCTGCCCAGGGCGACCGCAGCCAGCAGGGATTGCCGCTGGGGGCAGGCAGCGAGGGGTCGTGGCTGTGCGCAGTGCGTCGGGCGCCGGCCCTTTGCCGTTGGTGGGCGTGTAGCCGCTGGCCCTAGAGGCTAGCACCGCGCCATGCGCACGACCCCTGCCTTCCCGCCGGGCACGCCGCTTCACCTCGCCATGCACCGCATGGCAATGGCCCCTCAGAGAATCCCGCTCACCCTCCCACTCCCCTGCCTGCCTGCCCGCCCTCCCGGTCGCCGCCTGCCCTCCCCGGTCGCTGTGGCTGCCGCCCCGCAGAAGAACCGCATCGGGCTCAAGGCGCCCATGGCCACCCCCATCGGCAAGGGCTTCCGCTCCCTCAACCTCACCCTACGCAAGGAGCTGGGCCTGTACGCCAACGTGCGCCCATGCCTCAGGTGGGGTCCGCACGCCTCGGGTGCCCGCCTTGGGCGGCGCGGCGTGGCGCGAGGCAGGGTCCCCGCCGTGCACCGCGGCGGGGATCCGCTGCCGGCAGGCCGGCTTGCCCTGCAGGCGCCTGCGGCGGCCCCCTGTGCTGGGGCTGGCCCCGGCTTCTCAACCTGCCAAGCCATGCTCTGGCCGCCCCTCCGCCCGTGCCCTCCTCTCCCTCCCGCCTGCCACGTGCCACCCATCCGTGCCGCCCTCCCCTCCTGCCACCTGCCACCCTCCTTGCCACCCTCCCCACCTCCCACCCGCCCCTCCCTTACATCCCGCCCCCTGCAGCATCCCCGGCTACAAGACGCGGTACGACAACATCGACCTGGTGACGATCCGGGAGAACACGGAGGGGGAGTACAGCGGGCTGGAGCACGAGGTGGTGCCCGGGGTGGTGGAGAGCCTCAAGGTGGGCGCCGCCGCAGGCGGGCGGGGCCCGGCACAACAACTGCGCGCGACGCACGCGGCGGTTAGCGCCGCCGAGTGCCGGCCTGTGCTGTGCGGCCAAGACGGGCGAGGCCCTGGCCCGACCGCGGCGCGGGCCGTCTTGCGCGATGCCGAGCCCGCCCGCTGTGGCCTGCCTGCCTGCAAACCCGCCGCCATGGCCCGCCGGCTGGCCCGGCACACCCTCCTGCGCTCCAACAGGTCATCACGCGCGTGGCCTCCACCCGCGTGGCCGAGTTTGCCTTTGACTATGCCAGCAAGCACGGGCGCAGGAAGGTGACGGCGGTGCACAAGGCCAACATCATGAAGCTGGCAGACGGGCTGTTCATCAAGTGAGCGGCTGCGGCTGGAGGAGGCTGTTGTTTTGGAGGCATTGTTAGGGCGGGGGTTGGGGAGCGTGGCAGGCAGTGGAGGAGGGGATGGGGAGTGATTTGGGGGCGCACGCAGCAGCAGCAGGCAGCTGGAGCGGCGGGCGAGCGGGAGGTCTGGCTCAGGGGCTGCGGGCTGCGAGCCTGGTGGCGGCGCTCGCGGCTGCCCCAGCCGACCTGCCGGCGCCTGCTGCCTGCCCTGCCCTGCCCTCCCCGCCCCGCAGGTGCTGCCGCGAGGTCAGCGAGCGGTACCCCGACATCGAGTATGAGGAGATGATTGTGGACAACACGTGCATGCAGGTGTGTGGTGTGGTGTGGTGCTTTGCGGGTGTGCTTCTGAGTCGGCGGACCGAGGGTGGGGGGCAGGTGTGGCGGCGGCACATGCCAGCCTGGCCATGAGCCTGCGGGGGTGCCCAGCCTGCTGCCCACCCTTCTGCGCCCACGACGGCATCCACCCCAGCCCACCCCAGCCAGCCTCACGCACCCTGCTCCCGCGCCCTCGCGCCGCCTCCGCCCCCGCAGCTAGTGTCCAAGCCCGGCCAGTTTGACGTCATGTGCATGCCCAACCTGTACGGAGACATCATCTCAGACCTGTGCGCCGGCCTGATCGGCGGTCTGGGCCTCACCCCCAGCGGCAACATCGGTGAGCGCGCGGCCGCGCGCTTGTGTATGTTGTGGTGTCGGGCGGTTGCCAGGCGGCCCGACGCGGAACTGGCTGTGTGGCCGGCGGGCACAAGCCGCTGACGCCTGCATCCTGCGGGCTGCGAGCAGCCGGGCGGGGGAGTTGTGCAGGATAGCCTGTCGACTGTGCACCGGGTGTCCCACCTGTGCTTCCTTCCTTCCTCCCGCCTGCAGGCGCCAACGGCCTGGCGCTCATGGAGGCTGTGCACGGCACCGCGCCCGACATCGTGGGCCAGAACAAGGCCAACCCCACCGCGCTGCTGCTGTCGGGCGTCATGATGCTGCGCCACCTCACCCTCAACAAGCAGGCAGACATGTGAGCGGCAGCGCGCCACACCACCGCGGCAGGCCCGGCAGCCGGTGGCGGCGCCTGGGGCGCCACATTCATGTGTAGCGCCACATGCTTGGCCGGCTTGTTGTGCCGCCCCGACGGCGGCCTCCGCTGCACCTGGGTGCCGTCTTGCAGCCCGATCACCCACCCCACCCCTCCCCTCCCCTGCCCGCGCAGGATTGAGAAGGCGTGCCTGAGCACGATTGCAGAGGGCAAGTACCTGACCCGCGACCTGGGCGGCAAGAGCGGCACCACAGACTTCACATCCGCCATCATCGGCCACCTGCAGGGCTGAGCGGCGCGCCCCCTGGCCCCGCCAGCCCCCGCAGAGCGCCGCCTGGCGGCCGGGCCAGCGGCCGGCAAGCCGGCGCCGCTGGCACTGCACGCCAATCCCTTCCCCAAGCCGGCACTGCCCTGTTGTTGCTCTCCCCCCGCGCCTGCCATTGCTGTGACGCCCACTACTCCCCTTTGCTGTGTGCTACCGTCCCCGTGTGCCGCCCCCTAGCTACACGTCCCGCTCCCCACATTTTTTGCTCCCGTCTGTCCCAGCAATGCGCTCCCCTGTCCTAGCGCCCCTTGCCGTGCGCCGCTGCGCTGCGCAATCTCCCGCCCTGCTTTTCTCCTTTGATGCTGCACCTCCTCAACACTGCACCCCAACACTCTCACACCGCACGCCTACAGCGAGGCGCACGCAGGGAGGCGTCCCTCCCCGCCGTGGCACTGTCTGCCTGTCTGTTGCTGCGCCCTGCTGCCGGCGCTGGCCCGATCGGCGGCGCCGCGCTGCCAGGGCGAAGCAAGTGTAAAGTTGCCAACTGCCAGATGCCATGTCCAGCGGGGCTTTGAGCATTTGGGAAGCACAGATGCCCAGCAACAAAACAACACAGCGTGCCCGATGGCTCCTGCTGGCAGCGGTGGGCACCCGGGAGTGCAGCCTAGCGAGGCGCCCGCCGCACCTCGAAGCGGCAGCACGGGTCGCCCGCGCTGATGGCAGACATTCGCCCCGCTGTGGCCCCGCGGTACGGCACCTCAAACCAGACCCGGTCCTGGCTGCAGCAGCAGGCGCTGGCCAGCTGCGGCTGGCCCGCCTCCTCGAACACAGAGTGGTAGAAGCAGCGGGTGATGGTGAGGCTGGACTGCACTGGTGGGAGGGGGAGAGGAGCAGGAGCAGGAAGCACAGCACGCATGCAACCAGTTGGGCCTCATGCAGGGTGGGTGGATAGTGGGGCAGGTCGGGTCGGGAGGTCCGGCAGGGCAACCAGACCACCAAGCAAGGCTGCAGCGTGAGTCCCACTGTGCACTGCTGCTGACACCTCCTCCGCACACGTGCCCCACCTCTTCGCTGCCAAGCTCCAGCTGGCTGGCAAAGCCGGCCCCCAGGTCCCACTGCAGGCCGCGCAGGCGGGAAGAAAGCACGGCGTAGCCGTCCCGGTGCATGAACTTGGTGGCTCGCAGCAGGAAGCGCAGCAGCGGGGTGGTGCGCCCGCCCATGTGCTCCCGTAAAATCTGCAGCAGCGAGGCGGGCGAATGGCCAAGCCATCACACGTTTGTAGGCTCAAGGGAAGCAGGGAGGCAGGGAGGCAGGCACCCAGCACCGCGCTGCCCATACTGGGCCGCCACAGGCCGGTCGGTGCCCTGCCCGGTGCGGCGCGCGCAGCCGGCGGCGGCAGGCCGCTGGGGCCCCACCTGCAGCACCTCCTGCTCGTCCCCCAGGAAGGGCAGCAGCGCCTTGTGGCTGGCCAGCGCCAGCGCCGCCACGCTGAGGTGGGTCTCGGCGCGGTCGTCCCGCGCGGCGGAGGCGTACCGCCTCATGCCAGCCAGATACTCCGCCTCGATCAGCCCCCGCAGCTCCTGCTCCCGCCCCTCCAGCTGGTGGTACTGCCTGCACGAGCGGGGCGGCGGCGTGATGTGTACGGGGCGCAACGGCACGGCGCTAGGGGATGGGGGTGCTGGCCAGTGCAAGGCAGGCAGCTGGATCTGCTCACTTGCAGCGCGCCTCCACCAGGCCCTTGATCCACCAGGCCCTGCGGCGCATCAGACAGGCAGGCACGTCGGGGGAGTGGGCAGCTTGGGCAGCATGGGGTGCCGCACGGGTGCGGGACACCTGCAGGAAAGCAATCCGCGGCAGCATGGCCCCCACCTGTTCTTCTCCTCGAGCCACAAGCGTGCCCCGGGCATGTAACGGTCCAGCCAGTGCGTGCGCTCCTGGCCCTCCTGGCCCGGCATCACGGGCGGCGGCAGGGGTGGCGCCAGCGCCTGAGGCTGCGGCTGCGCCGGCTGCTGCACGTCCTGGCCGGCGCTGCCTTCTGTCGCAGGGGTGCCGCGCAGACAGGAGAGCGCCCTGAGCGCGGAAGGGGGTGGGGTTGGAGGGCGGGTGAGCGCCCTGGCGCCCAGCAGGGCGACAGCCTGGGCCAGCATGGTGCGAACAGAGGTAGAGGATGTGACGACATTGAGCAATCAGCGTTGAGTTATGTCAACTTGACACATGGCGGCAGCGTGACAGTGTGGCGCCGCCGCTGTGTGCTGTTCTATCAGACACTGATGCACAGTTTATGCGCTGCAACCACAGGGTGCCATGTGGGCCGTGTTCAGGTGGGTGAGGGGTTATGCGAGGGTACTGTGGACGCCGTAGCATTACATGCCTTGGGGCCACACGCCCGCCACCACCTGGCGGTGCGACGGCTACCCCCACCACAGGGCGTGGCGACATTGTAGCACCGTCGCGTCTCTTGCTTTGATCCATGTCACAGTCAGCAAGCCACCCTGTTTTGTATCAGGCGCATGCATATGTGAGCAGCGAAGCAGTGCACAAGATGGCTCATACGGCAAACCAGTTCAAAACGAAGAAGAATTCACTAGAAAATGAATACCTGTGATCAATGCAATACAGGCGTCTGCTGACGAGGGATCACAAAGTTCACACGGGGATCGGCTGCAGCTTGCCGCCCGGCGCCAGCTCCACATAGTGCTTGCGCACCGGCTGCGTCACCTTGTCATACTCAGCCTTGCTGCGCCCCACCCCCGCAACCCGTGCCACCATGGTGCGCAGGGCGGCGAAGGGCAGCGTGGTGTGGCGGTCCCGCAGGTACCGCGCATGGTCCTCGTTCACGTGCTCCGCCTCGCGCTCGCTGGGCGTGCTCAGCGCCTCGTCCTGCGCAGGTTGGCGTGGCTCGCGCCTCAGCGGCACGCAGCGAGCGGGGGATGTGCTGGGCACCGCTGGCGGCAGTGGGCATCGGCGTCCAAGCTCGGCGCGTCCCTTCTAAACACACAAATGCATGCATGCTGCCACCACCCCACCAGGAGCCACAGTCCTCCCGCACATCCGAAGCCACCCCATGCACTCCTCTATCCCCACACTGGCCCGCTGCCAACCCACGCAACAACCCACCTCTATGTTGATGGCATACCAGTGCACCTTGTACTCAATGGCAGCGGCTATGTTTGGATAAAACCTGTGAGAAGAGCGAGGCAGGAATCGAGTGTGTGTGTGGGGTGGGGGTGGGGGTGGGGGGGCGTGCCGGGCATGCGATGCGCTACGCGTGTGCAACAGGCGCAGCGCTGCGGCTTCAAGCAAGCTGTGCTGGCAAAGGGCCCTCACCAGTCCTCACCAGTCGCTCCAGCCACGCTGCTCAGAACCAAACTTGTAAGGCCTGCGGGCAGCACGCAGGCAGTGGCAAGCGGCTTGCTACTGCTCCTGCGCCCAGCTTGGCTGCTTGGGAATGCTTGCATGCACGGCGGCCCGCCGTCCACAACACCGCCCCCGCCATGCCTGCCCCTTGTAGGTGTACTGGCTGCTGCATGCCAGCCTCACCTGATCTCCAGCAGTGCGGATCCTTCCCGCATGGCCAGCCAGTTGGAGCAGCCCGAGCCGTGCACTATGACAACCATGTCGGCAGGCCGCACCTGCAGGCGTCGGGGCACATCGAGCGGAGGCGGCGGTGGGGTTGGGTGTGGGTTGTGGTGCGTGCGTGGGTGTTGTACGTTAACGTTGGGGGCAGAGTGCGGCACTGCTGTGGGAGGTGCCGAAGGGCACTGCAGGCTGGCAGCCTCCCCGCCGCCTCACCGCTGCCAGGTTGTGCATGGGGTCAGCGCCGAGCGTGGTGGACCTGCAGCAGGCGGCCGGCGGGCCTTGGCCTGTCACGTGCGGTGCAGGCGCGATGTTAAACGTTTCACACAAGCGCGCGGCTCCTCACATCACAGTGCACCCTGTGTGGGTCCCCCCTGCACACCCCGCCTGCGCCGCACCTGCACTGCACTTTCTTCCACGGTGACGTCCCTGGCAGCTCCCAGCGGACGCTGTTGCACTCTGCCACCAGCTCCTCCCAGTTCAGCAGGCGCCGGATGGTGCCGTTGCGGTGCTCTATCAGCACCTGCAACAGCAGGGCGCGGCGGGGCGGACGGGGCGGGCGTATGGGGGAACCCTAGCGCAGGCTCGGCGGTCCCCTTCTAGGCAGTGGCAGGGCTCCCGCCCCCTCACACGCACATGCGTGCACACATGCACGCATGCACACCCACCTTGAGCGTGTCGTCGCCGGCGTCAAAGGTCGCCGCCGGCTCCGGCTTGGGCAGCCGCCGCTCGTAAAAGTGGTACGCCGCCTGCGGGGTGACGGCGGCAGCACACCGCGCGCACCTCGCCAGGCAGCTGGGGACAGCATGCATCCACGCGCCGCCGCCGGTCCCTTGGCTCTTTGACAGGCCCAGGCTGTTCCCGCCCACAGCCCTGGGGCCGCCTCTGGCGATGCGATGCATGCATGCGAGGCGGGGCGGAGCGCCGCCCGCCCCACGCCCGCCCACCTGCATCGCGCCATACATCCCTTGAAAGTATCCGGCATCAGAGAAGGCGCACAGGTGGGCTGTGCGGAAGCAGCGACCGTACGGGTGGGACGGCTCCGCGCCGGCCGCCGTGCGGGCCGACAGCTGCAGAGTCGGGGCAGGAGGGCAGCGCTCGCGTGGGTGGGATGAGGAGGCAGTGCCGACGCAGCGGCGGGGGCCGGCTGCGCATGCACGTGCTGCATGTATCTGCGCCTGCGGGCAGGAGGCTGGGCAGGTGCCCACCTCGGCAAACGACATGACCGCGTTGACGGTGTACGGCTGCAGGAAGAATGGCCAAAAGGAGCGGGTGCGCTCGCCTGCACAGCCGCGGGCCGGGAGGGCCGCCAACCAGTCAGCATCCGAGCCAGGGAGGCGGGCAGGCAGCCCTCGGGGCAGGCAGGGCGATGACAGCCAGGCAGGCAGGCAGGAAGGCAGGGCAGCAGTGCCAGCCACGCTCCACGAGGGGCCCCGCCCCGCCGCCGGCGCACCCGCGGGCGTGCCCAAGGCCAGCAGCGTGCCGTTGCCCATCCTGCCGTCCGCCCACAGCTGCCACATGCGCGCCGTCACGTGGCTCAGCGACTCCCCAAAGTTGTGCACCTGCAGGGGGGGTGCGTGGGGCAGGCGGCGGGCAGCCGGAGGGAGCAGGGAGGCGTCAGCAGAGGCGGGCCCAAGCAGGCGGGCCCCCGACACGTCTGCCCCAGGTCTGCACTCGCGGCCTATCATAGCGGGGTGACTGAAAAGAACACATCGCTTCCAGCGCTCACCCACTGCGTCCACATCACTACGGCGGTACAGTTGGAGAAGGTGGGGCGCAGCAGGTCGCCCTCCTCAAGCACGCCAGCGGCACGCATGGACAGCGGCGCTGCGGGCAGGGGGCCAGGCAGGCATGACGCAAAGCAAGCAGCGAGTTGGTCACCACAGGCGCCGTCAGCTGGCGGGCGCCCATCTGCGCAGCTCATCCGACGGCCGGTCATAGTTCAAGAGGCACAAGCCAGTCCAGGCATCAGCCAGCGTGCCCGGATGCAGCGGGCGCGGCAGTGGTGGCGGAGCAGGCCGCGGCGGCTGCTCAGCATGCCGCCGCCTGCCGGACCCCCGGGCTCTGGCACGCGGCTCAGCATGCGGCATGCAGGCGAGCATGCGGGTAGGCAGGCACGCATGTGCGCACCATACTTGTTCTGCGCATTCCTAAACTTGTCACCATTGTCATCGGCACCTGCGGGCAGGCAGCCTCGCGGGCGGGGCGGGGTGAGCGCTCCGCAGCAGCTGCTCCGAGCAGGCACCGCCGCCGCCGCCGCGGCTGCTGCTAGAACCCAGGCCAGACGGCGCGGCCTGCTGCGACCCAAGCGGCTGCAGCAGGGTGCCCTCGGGCTGCCCACTGCATGGCACGCGCCTGCCCAGGAGTACTCGATGACTTCTATCTCCAGCTTGGGCAGGGGCTCGGACGAGGTGTTGGCTGGGCTGTATGCGGGGTCGTAACTCACAACGTGTCCCTGCGCAGCGGCGGCGGCGCACGGGTGGTCGGCCGCTGCCCCTGTCGTGCTCATCACACAGCACCCAGGCAGAGGGGTGGTTGCCTGGGGGGCTGGGCATGGTATCGGGCGGGGTGGGGTGGGGTGGGGGACTTGCCCCGAGGTGGGGCTTCCTGCCCAACGGTCAGCGCATCACCGTATATGCCCATCGCTGGGCACCCAGCCAGCCAACCGCGCAGGCGGCTCCCGCCCCCACCACGCACCTGGTCGAAGCAGACCTGGCTGTAGGTCTTGCACAGGCCGGCCAGGGCCTCGTGAGTGGGATCAAAGAAGCTGTTGTCGCAGGCGGCGGCGGGTGTTGCCGCCGCCGCCGCCGAGCCTGGCTGCTGCCCTGCTGCCACATGCCCAACGGTCAGCAGAACCTGCAGATGGTGAGTAGGGTGCGTGTCGGAGCGCTACTCGCAAAGGAAGCAGACAAGTGAGGCGGGTCGCAGAAGGGCACTGCAGGGAAGGCGGGACAGCGGCAGGCGGCGGAGGGCGGGCATCGCCAGGGCGGCACACTTGCCCCGTGTCCCGAAGTGTGCAGACCAACCCCCACCAGCACCAGCGCCAACACGAACACGCCAAGAACCCACTGCGTCTGCCAGCTCACTGCCCACTCCTTATTACTGTTCAGCGCGAGTTTCGCCATGCTCCCAAGGCGGAGTCTTTACCAACCACGCCCACGCCCGCCCAGTTCCCTACCAAGGCTGGCGCCACCCAAGACGCTCCGAAGACTGGACGTCATCAAAGAAAAATCGAGCAGCGAGGAAGAATGAGAAGAACAGAATACGTGCAACGCGTGAATGCTGCGGCATCCATGGCAGCGCCGCTGGACAGCACAGCGCGGCGGGTGATGTCCCTGGGATGCGTAGTACGCATGTTCCCTGAGACATCGCCCTTCCCACTGCCGCCCAGCCCGCCGCCACCCAGCCCGCTGCCGCCTTCTCCACCTCCTCCTTCCGCACTGCTGCCAAGCCCGCCGCCTTCTCCGCCACCACCATCCCGAAGAGCCACTCTGCCTTCCCTACCTACTCCTGCAGATGCGCTTCAAGCACCTGGATGCTTCACGCTTGCTTGTGCAGCATGGCCAGCATAATCACATCGATTGCAGCCTCGATGAGAAACAGGGCATTCAGGCATAAAACCAGGTGTACGGTGGCAGCGATGGCAGCTGACGACAGCCGACACCATAGTGTTTCCCTGTTCTCCCTTTGTCCCATGCCATTCATTTATGAATCAACAGCACTGACGTACTTCGTGATACTTGATGCTCTGTCAATCAGCGTCCACCTCATCCTGCGTGGCTGGAAGAGGGGGCAAAGCGGCACCCAGGCGGCACCGGTGCCAACGGCAATGCATGGGACCTGGGCGATTGGTGATGGCCCGCTGTGTTTGATCCAACGATCCTGCGGATCTAGCCGTGCATCCCTTGCGTGTTTGCTGCTATCCTGAGACTCACCTGTCCCGACTACGATCTACGAGTCGACTGCAGTCGCTAAGTTGCCTCTATGCGAAAGGAGGAGCTGTAGGACTGCCGTCTAGACCAGCGTCAAGGCACAGCACGGCCTGGAACGCCAGCAGTTCACATGTTGCCTGCCATGTGATGCGCAGGCCAGCAAACCGCCCGCCCTCCCGCTCCCCTGCAACCAGCAAAAAGCTGCATAGCAGCGGGCGCCTCCAGCGGCATGGGGGTTGAGAGCGGGAAGGGCGGCGCCGCGCTGCCGCCCGACCGCCGGCCCTTCAGGCTGACGGCCCCCGCCCCTCCCAGCACGTGGCGTCGCAACCTGGGAATGGCAGCCGTCACGCTGGTGTTCATCGGCACCCTGGTGGCGATGCCCAGCACGGGCCTGTCCGGCTTGGTGGGCTCAGCCTCCCAGCACCTCACCATAGCCTCCCTGCCCGTGTCAGCAGCCGCGGCACAGCCAAGCAGCAGCGACACCAATGGCAGCGTGGATGGGCATGGCAGCAGCACTGATGACGGCATCGTCGGCGCCAGCACCAGCACCGGCGGCGCCGATGCATCTGAGGGCAGCAGTGCTGGTGCGGCCCAATCGGCCGGGGCATCTGGGGAAGGTATCGCTGCGGCACAGCGAGGCAGCAGCAACAGCAGCAGCGGCAGCGAGGAAACCGAGGAGGCTGAGGAAGGCAGCAGAGGCAGCGGCAGCAGCGCTGAGGCAATCGAGGAGGCCGAGGAAGGCAGAAGCAGCAGCAGCAAGGAGGCTAAGCAGGTGGCAGAGGCAGACAGCGGCAGTGGCAGCAAGGAGGCAACTGAGGCGACAGTGGAAGGAAGCAGTAGCGGCAGCAGCAGCGCCGAGGGAACCGTGGCGGCAGAGGAAGGCGGCGGCAGTGACGAGGCAGCGGAGGCCGACGAGGAGTCGGTGGGAGGCAGCGCGGGAGATGAGGCCGACCTGCCGTGCCGGGAGAGCGGCTACTGCAGCGTGGGCAAGCTGCAGGCGTATGTGGGGGAGGTGGACAGCACAGAGGGCTTCAGGGCCATGGTGAGTTAAGAGGAGGGGTGTTGATGCTGCTCAGGAGGACACTGCTTGCCCTGCATCCATGATGCTGTGCCTGCCCTCCTGATACACATGCCTGCTCGTGCGCATTCTGCCCCGCAGCTCAAGGCCAGCTGCTACAAGAAAGAGTGCATCATGCTGACCATAGGGAGCGGAGGCCACCTGCTGGGCATGAACTTTGGTGGGCAGAGCTGCTGGTGCTGGCAAGGGATGACGCCGGCGGCAATGCGCTTGCTGTGGGCTGCATGCTGCGCGGATGCTGCTGCTGGCTCGGTGCCTGGCTCGCATGCAGTGCTCCTGCTGCCACTCACCTCGCCTCGCCTCGCCATATGCTGCGTGTGCTGCTGCCTGTGCTTGCAGTGGCGGGCGCCTGGAAGCTGGGCTTGGCGAACGTGATGCTGCACGCGACCGGCAACGAGTCGTGTGCTGTGCTGGCGGAGGCTGGGTACCACAACGTCACATGCGTCTGGTCCCACCGGTCAGTACTGCTCTGGGATGGGAGGGAGCGGTCAGTACTGCTCTGGGGTGGGAGGGAGCGTTCGGCATTGTGTGGGGGGCACCTTTGCCTCCCGGCTTGCCGCACACAGGCCTCTCTGTAGTGGGGGCTGCATGCCCTGGGGGCGAGAGACTGCCGTGTGCCCACCTGCCCGCCCCTTCTTCTCTGCTTGTGCACAGAGACTGGTTCCCTGTGAAGAATGGCACGTGGCATATCTTCGAAGCAGGTGGGCTGCTCCTGCGCCGCCTCCCAGCAGCATAACCCTTAGTGGAGCCGCCCGCGCGAGGCTGCAGAGCACGCTGCTGCTGCAGAGTGCTGCCACCCAGCTGTTTCCATTGCAACCTGAGCTGCGCATCATATCTGTGCTTGTCAAATCCCCTCCGCGACCCATCCCCCCACCAACCGCCTGATTTGCAGAGGAGCAGTGGGCTGTGCGCTACATCTTGATGGCTCGAGCCGTCTGGCACGGCTACAACGTGTGGTGAGCGGCACGTCTGCCGCGCGTGGCTTGCCGCCGCCGCTGCCCTGCTCCTGCCAACTCAGCCCCCGGGCGTGTGCGTGCAGCGTATGCCTGACGGGCTGCTGCGCAGCGGCTTCTGTGCGGTGCTTTCTGCATGGAGATGCTGCACCAGCTTCGCAGGAGAGTGCAGACGGGCTGACCTGCTGATGGCAGGACGTGTCCCTCGTTGCTGTGTACTGGTATGGTGGCCCATGCAGGCTGCTGGATACTGACACCTATCTGTACCATGATCCATACAAGTATCTCACGGTACCGCCCTTCAAGGACATACACTTCATGTCTCTTGACGAAGGCGGCCACACCATCAACGGTGCGCCCCTGCCGCTGTTGCCGCTGGGGCTGCCGCTTGGACTTGGGCTGGGGCCGCTGCTGCTGGGCCTTGGGCCACTGCCGCTGCTGCTGCTGGGCTCTGCCCTGGTGCTGGCGCTGGAAGCCAGCATTCTCCTCAAAACACGCACCGACCACCATGTCGCCGCCCCCGCAGGCGGCTCCTCCTACATCCACAGCGCCGCCCCCGGGGGCCCCGCCGCCTGGACCATCGCCCGCATGTGTGAGCACATGATCCGCCTGAACGAGCAGTGGCGCGTGTATGCCCGCAACGCCAACATGACGGAGCTGGGCCACCTGGGTCACGCCATGATGGACCAGGCAAGCCTCCTGGGTTTGGCTTGAGTTATGGGCGATGCTCTTGCCTTGCCCATCTCACTCCCCTATCGGATCAGGCAGGCTGGCCGCCCACAGAACGCCTGGAGGGGCGTGTGTGGCCAGCACGTGGCATGGTGCTGGCTACTGTGCTATGCCCGCCTTGCCTCCAGCACGCCCTCCCATCTCTTCCTGTCCCCTGCGCAGTTTGTGCTGTCCGACACGCTTATCGGCAACTACCTGCACCACCCCGCCATCTTCTTCACGCTGTGGGAAGCACCAGGCCTGAGCATGGGTGAGGAGTGGTGGCAGCAGCCTTTCCCCTGTCCGCCCTCAGCCACACCCGAAAGATACAGCCGAAAGATACAGCCGAAAGACACAGCCGAAAGATACAGCCGAAAGACACAGCCGAAAGATACAGCCGAAAGATACAGCCGAAAGATACAGCCGAAAGATACAGCCGAAAGACACAGCCGAAAGATACAGCCGAAAGACACAGCCGAAAGATACAGCCGAAAGATACAGCCGAAAGATACAGCCGAAAGATACAGCCGAAAGACACAGCCGAAAGACACAGCCGAAAGATACAGCCGAAAGACACAGCCGAAAGATACAGCCGAAAGATACAGCATTGGGCATCAGGGCTGCTGCTAGGCGCGCCCGCCTGGGCATGCTGTTGGCTCTGCACACAGCCCGCTGGCGCATGACACTTCTCCCTTGTGGAAGCAAGGGAGGTCATGATTTCATTCTTTCTTCTCTGACGAGTTCTTTCTTTTTATGCTTCTTTCCACCTTCAGATGTGGAGCCCCAGGTGCATTACGACGACCCCGGCGTGCAGCTGCACTACCCGCCCGCCTGGGTCAACCTGACAGGGACGACTGAGGAGAAGGCTCATGGGTTCAACCTGACGATCCCGGTGGGGGTGGCTCGCTGGCCCCGTGTCTGTCTGTGCCCACGCTGCACCCAGCCTTCTGCAGGGTGCATGGCCCGCATGGGCCAGCACTACTTGTGACCGCTGGCGGCTGAGTGTCCGGGATGGTGCCTGTACTGCCTGCAGTACCTCAACGGCACCTGGAATGAGTCCATTGCCGGCAAGCGCTTCCCGCCACGACGCAACTACTCCCAGGCCTTCATCAAGGTGGGGAGAGGGGCTTGCTGGATCGCAGGTGCTGTTGCAGCTACATGCCACCCCACCTATTGGTGGTGCCAGCAGGGGGAGGTTGTTGGAGCGCTGGCCACCGGCTCACAGTGACCTCCTTGCTGCGCTCTGCCTACCGCCTGGCTCGTTTGCCAGCCTGCTGCCAGCTCCAGCGATCCAGCGGCATCCCATTTACCCC